GAGAGAGGGTCGCAAGGACGAACAAACAAAGAATGCTCGTTGTCACAACTCTAGCCCCACCTAATGGCAGGAGAGAGGGTCGCAAGGACGAACAAACAAAGAATGCTCGTTGTCACAACTCTAGCCCCACCTAATGGCAGGAGAGAGGGTCGCAAGGACGAACAAACAAAGAATGCTCGTTGTCACAACTCTAGCCCCACCTACAGCCGGAGAAACAGTGACAAGGACAAATGGCCAATGAATACTCAAACATGAGCAAGCCCTTTAGTGAGAGGAATAGTGTCCTGTTAACATAAACTTACTCTACTGTCAGGCAGGTAAAGGTAAAAGAATTTCTAACATGACCAAGTGGTTGACTGTCTGGCACTATATGCAAAAAGGAAATCGAAGATCCATTGCTAAAATTACCAAAATACACTATACAACACAGTTCAATGATGCATTCTCTTCACATCCACCTATAAGTAAAATTAATTAATAAATTGCTTTTTTTTTAGTGGAATTTTTGAAAGGTTTTTGTAGCAGCATCAAGGTTTAATTATCATTCTTTATATGTGTATGTTTCCATAATGTTCTTTTCTGTCCTTTGTTCTTTTGTGCTAGGATAAATTAAATTTCACGATTAATCATTATGGTACTTCACTGGTCCATTGACTACAAAAGGATCTTATGTTGATATTCATGTTCTGATTTATACCATAACATACATTATATAAGCCAAAATTACTCATAAAATAAATGCTTACCCGGACTCAAGTCATATTTTCTCTCCTCTCGCCTGTCACTACAAGCTTAAGAAAAAGGAACAGAAAAACACCATTATTATTTTCATTATTATACACATTTGTGCAGCACTAATTCCTGATGTACATGCCACAATATTACTCTTCCTCTGATGATGAATATGGGTAAAACTAAATTTAGATAACAGACAAATCTAATCATAAATAGGCCAGTGTTTGTCCAGGGTAACATCCAACTTCAATATAATGTTTGAAATATCAGGATATCCAGGTTAACATGGTATAACAATTGCATACATGTAATTTCCTCTTAATAAATTCTTATCATTATTATCTTTTTCTTAGAATATGTATTGAAATTACAGGGAGGAAAGTGTATGCTGCATTTAGGACTCAAAAGCTGAGTTTTAATCTCTTGAATGTAGAACTTATTCCATAGTGTTTCCTAACATCAATGAGAGCTAGAAGGATAAGAAAACCAATGGAATATTGTGTTTTTCAGTTAATATTAATCAGCCTAGACATATTATTTCAAACTTTGCCTGGTGCAGCCATTGTTTAATTCTGCAGTATTTTATAAGACTGCCTATTGTAAAAAGACACTTATAACAAATCTTAGTGTGGGTCAATTAAGATAGCAAATACAAAAACATGAATTCTTCATATAACATACTACTGTTCTAGAAGTATATTGTTTTAATGTGAGGGTACATGGGGTGGGTTAATAAATCATAATGTAACTTCTTAATACAAATAGGGCTGTACAGGTAAAAGGATTACAGAAGATAAGCTTCTTTATGGCTCAGTCAATTCTAAACATGCCCACCCCTCTCCACAGGCATTTGTCATGTTTTAATTTGAAAGCAGCAAATGCCCGCCCCCACTGTGGGGCCAGTAGATACATACAAAAAACCCACCATGTAAATAAAAATTGGAACAAATGCCCAAGTATCAAAGCAAAAGTTACATATACGTCACCTTGTAAAAAGCTGAAAATTGTTACTGTCAAACCCTGAAAAGAGTGAACACCTGAAAAATTTCAGGAATGTTGATTGTGTCCTGGCCAAACACAATAAAGTTCAGGAATATGCCAGCAAAACTTAAACCCACAAACTAATTACCACTTTATTTTACATTATCTCGTGCCTTATTGCCTGATTCTCATAACACAATAACATGCCATAAATATTTCTGGTGTTCACGGTTTTGTGAGTTTCACAGTAAACATACTTAACAACTTAACTCAGGAACCTTACAGTTTTCCTGATATCCATACAGACCCCAAAGACAATGTAAAGAGGACAACTTTACAACCCAAAATTACCTTATGAGATAAACTTTCCATGGCAGACATGGCAAACAGTATGGCATATACAGAGTGCATACATAAGTACAAGCTTAGATGGTACCCCTTAAACAATGAAAAATTTCCTACCCCAAAAACACTTTTGTCAATGAAAAATGCCCACTGCAGGAACAAAATGCCAGAAAAATTCCCAGGGAGAATGAGTATGCTTGGAATTGACTGAGCACAGTGTGAGCATAGGATAAATGAAATAAATATTATATTTACATGTACAACTACACAGCATTTGAATTGAGATATAATCTTTCAATAACAGCCTAGAAGTAGAATAAAATATTATTAACTGGGCTAAAATCCAAGATAAAAGAAAAAACAAAGAAAGGATGATATTCTGGAATCGAAAAAATGCAACTTTTCAAGAACACAATGAGTCGGATTTTGAATTGCTGTTAAAACTCGTTGTAGTACATTCTGGCTGTTTTGTTAGCTTTTTCAAAATGTTTTGTTGAAGTTGTCAAGCATTATCAGAAAAATATTACAACTCAGGGTTCAGTATGAAAACCACTGTAAATAATTAAAACCAAAATAAAGAAACGACAACAATCAATATGCACCGAAATAATTCTTTCACAACACACTCCTCAGAAGACTCGATCTACAGTAGTATTAAAAAACAATTTTCGGTTAATGATTATTGAATTCTGATAGCATCGTGTTCGCGTCCCCCGAGCTTTCTCGACCAGTGAAGAAAAAAATGAGCTTACACAGGAAATGTTTAAGTTTTTTTCCCCTTGTGACATCAATGTACAGTTGAGAAAAACATGAGGTTAATTGCCACTGAATTGTGCTATCAGACTAGGCACATTTTACAATTAAAGAATGGGAAAAATCAAAGTTGAATTCATTGCTTATCCTTTTTATCTCCGGTATCTCGTTCGCGCTTTTCGAAATGGTTTCATCCGAAAACCACCAATACACACTGAAACTATTAAGCCAACCATTGACTAAAAATAAGACTTACAGGACTTAGGAGAAGAAGAATCGTTTTGAAAAGTTATCTAACGGCTGCGCGCCAAGGCCTTCACAAAAACCGAGAAGCGATTTTAATGGCATTTAGTGACATGCAGATAAGTAAGACAAGGGAATTAAAAATAACATGCATGCATAATAGTAGACAATATATTCAGTATATTCAAAGAAACCTTACCTTTTGCTGCTTTTGCATAAACATGAATCACCGCGTGGAAAGACCGCCAAATTGCAACAACGGTGCCCACAAGCAGATTTTTTGATCAGCGGTAAATAAATCATCAGCGCGCACAATTCGCGCACAAAGAAGAGCCACCTGAGAGGAGCCGATCACTCCTGATACACCTAAGATAAATTTCTAGCAAATTAGAGGGCTAAAATATCTCCAGCAAGAATTTTTGATACATTTCATAAATTCTTGACCGCAGATTTAAGACCCTACTTCCCAGGAGAACAGCCAAAACCTCAGTTCCCAGCCAGCAAAATTTTCGCTGTAGAACAGATATTGTGAGGAACAGATCCGTTGGGTGCCCCTGTGGCCAGCCGAAATATTGTTATAAAAAACAATACACGTTGTTTTAAATCAGCTTTGCAGTAGTCTTTGGATTTCTCGTTCTTGGTTCTTAATATTTTGGCTAATTAGATCTCTTTTCTAGAGATCCAACGTTTACAACTAGCAGGATCTTCGTCCACGGTTTTTGCAGTTAATTTAATCGTTTATAACATAAAGCCTAGTAGTAGCTCAACCAATCAGAACAAAGCATTGATAATAGACCACTAGTTGGATTTTACTAATAAAGTTTAATTCCGTGTTCAAAGTGTCAATTTATCTTTGGCTACCCTTGAAGTGTACTGTGCATTGTACTTGTATTGCTTTCCTTTCCAAAGTTCAACTAGATTGCGAGTCACCACCACCATTGTTTGTGATTTTTTGAAAATCCTTTCTTTCCTTACTTCCGTTTATTTGCTCCGAACTCCCGACGCCGCCGCCCCTGCCGGGTGCCACCTGGTAGAGGCAAATTTGTCAGAAAAATTCCTCGATAATATTAACGCTGTTTTGATGAGTTTTAGCAGGATCTTGGAAGGGAAGATTGGGAAGACCGCCTTTTTTCGTTGTGATGCACCGTGAGAACAAGTCAGCGGCTTCCTAAAAATAACAAACGCATGCGCATTGAGTAGCGTCGTTCACGCGCGCAAAACTTTTGTTCGTAGCGTCTGTAGTAACGAAAAATTCGGTTAACTCTTACAATTGAACAATTAATAACATAACCCAAATTCGGCCGGCTTTTTTTGAGATAAAATGATCGCATCAAAAAATTCGTGGACTGGATAACTGATAGAGAAATTCTGAAGCAGTCTATTGACATTTGATCAGGAGTTTCCGACCGATAGATCGCGCGCTTGTCTGTTCCTTCCTTCGTCGAATTCTCCAAAATATCAGACGCTTTCTCTCAATCAATGGAGCGATTTGGTGGATCATTGCCCGTTAAGGGTTACAGTGGTGAAATGGCTGGGAAAAAACGAGTTCAATTGCCAGCAGACCTCGGAAAAGGTATATTTTAACCTCTTGAATTGTTTTAAATGTACGCGCGATGCTCAAGCGAAATTTTTATTTTAAAAGCAAAACTTTCTTTGAGAGTTTGAGTGTTGAATAAAATTATTATTGGAAGCTTACTCGCTGGTGTAAATTATCTAGACAAGGAAGCCTTTTCTTGAATTTACTGAATCTAAAAATTTGTGTTTTGAGACTTAACCACAACAATTCAATGCCCAACAATTAAGATATATTAATAGCCGTTTAATTTTTAATTATTGAAATCTGCAACAGTACAAGTTCCATATCTCCAGTGTCAGTTTTAATTGCAAACACTGTCCAAGCTCTTCACTTTCAATTGCTGTTTTAAATTTATCTTTGTATTTCAGTGACTTTGCCCCATCCCAGACACAATGCAGACATGATAGACTCTCATCTTTCTGGGGGCTGGCAGGAAACGATATTTTGTTGGTTTATTAATTGGTTTAAAAATCCTGACATTTTGTTGTCCATAGGTTACAGTTCTTATGACTCAAGTAACTTATTTCACAGTACCCCAAAAACAAAGGTGAGTGTTTCAACGTGATTTTTCGTTGTTGATACAAATGCTTGAAACCTTGGGGCTTCCTGCAGGGATGGGATATGATTTCTCCTATGGTAATTAAAGCTGTACAGTAGTAAATTTTTCTTTGGTTTTTGTCTACCGTGCTTGCATGCAGTTAGATGTGAATTCATTACTAGGGTAAATAAAACAAGTATGGTTGCCAAAAAGAAGCAAAATTATATTTTGTTTTTCAAGTTGATAATCTATTTAATTTATTTTTCCAACAGCCAATAGTTTCATCCTTTTCAACATCACCCAGTAGCTACAAACCTAGAACAAGCAACTCAAGCTATCAGCCAGGCATGAGTCCGTCCAGAGCATCACGGAGTAAATCTCCCCTGCGGAGTACAAGTCCTGTCCGCCGCTCTGTGAGTCCTGGCTTAAATAGAACTACAAGTCCAAGGCTACACAACAGCTCCCTGTCTCCAACCAGTAAACAGGTTTGTACCGGTTATAAAAGAAAAAGCTATTAAAATACATGTAGATGCAAAGTCAAGACTGGTTAGCTTCGAAAATACCATGCGAAGCCTCTGGAAATTATGTTTTGATGTTATTGTGAAGAATATTTTTGTGCCAAATCTTTTGACTTGAGGAAAAGCATTTTGTGGCATAATAGAACTTTTTGCTGTATTATGACCTCATGAAAATCAAGTGCCATATAATTTCCTAATTATTTTTTGCAGTCCACCAGAGTGTCTGTAAAAATGGTGACAGTACTTTTTTTTTTACTAATACCAAAATAATAATAATAATATTATTATTATTATTATCATTATTATTATTATCATTATTATTATTATTATTATTATTATTATTATTATTATTATTGTGATTTTGTTCTCAGCTCTCAGACGTTGACAGTGATACCATCCAAAGGCAAAGACGCGAACTCCAGTTACTCATAGGAGAACTTAAAGATAGAGACAGGTGAAATAAATGTAACTTTCTATTTTAGGCAAAACTAGTCTGACAACTTTGATGCTAAACAGTTGCAGGCCACAGTCATACAGTATTTGAACATTTGTTTTTTGTTTTGTCCCTGTTTAGAGAACTGAATGACATGGTACAAGCTCATCAGAAACAGATAGTGGCTTGGGAAGAGGATAGACAGAGGGTAAGTAAGCACTTGAAAGAGTTGGGGTTCAGTTTATGGACAAACCTCAGAAAAAGGTCAAGTTTGAAATCCTGTTTTCCTAGCCTGGTAATCAGTACTTGTCCCTTGTGATAGGATGGGATTATTAGGCGAACAGAATAAAAATAATCCCTTTTGTTACCCTCACCTTGTGCATTACATGTACAGGTAGCTTAATTTCATCATGACCTTTTTCACTTTTTTACACATAATATACCTGATGGTGGAAATGACTTGAAAGGAAATATATGAAATGATTGATATTTTGAACTGCGAAGTTATTTAAGATCAAGTTTCAAGTTCGTTTTCAACTGCATAGGTTGTTCTTTTAACTGCGAGGATCATTCCCACTTTCATACATTTAATATACACAGTTCAAAATATGAATCATTTCACATAATTTTTCTTTCATGTCATTTCCACCATCAAGTATAATTTTATTACAAACTCACAGTGGCCTGCTCTCCAGTTGCCTTGATTGGCGTTACAATGGATAGAGCATTGTGTGCAGTCATTGCAAAGGTCAATCGGTTCGATTCCCGCTCAAGCCTGATTTTTTTTTCCTTTCATTTTTAATGTCTTTCACCATCGTTGTTGCTTAAGTTTCCTAATCCTGATAATGGGGTTTTCCAGCTGTAAAATGAATGTTTGTTCTAAAAGAAGTCTTATAGCTTTAGGTTGATGTTTTTACTGTAAGAGGGAATGCCATGTCAGATTTTTAGAGGGACAATTGACTAAAGATTAGAGGTGTTTGAAAGAAATTCCACAGAAAAAATTCCACAACATGGTTGTGCTCAAAATCGAAAAACCAATGGGTTACACCATCTTTAGGTTGACAACTTATATTCTTCCCCTTCTTGACACAGGTGTTTGCTCTTGAAAAACGGTCAGCCAGGCTAGAAAGTAAGTGAACACACTATTTGGACAGGTCATGTACAGCTTGATCACAACAGTTGTAATTAATTGCAGTTGTAATTGCAGTGTAAGCAATTTGCAAATGAAGCCGGTAGAAAAACAATTTGTGGCTTTTGGGGGTTAAATATAGCAGCATTATTTCTAGGTCCTTCATGCTACTGGACTAAGCCCTGCCGACATGAACCTCATTAGCTCCAAACGCTCCTGTTCATTTTATTTTCAAATAATAACATACGCAAGTGTTTGAGTTGTTTACTGAAATTGTTAATTTTTATGGCAGGTGAACTTAAAAATAGAAATGAACAATTAAAGGGATTGCAAGCAAGGTTTGAGATTTTTTATGCTATTTCTAAAGAATTATTGGATGGGGTTTATGTGATATCCAGAATAATCAAGGCCAAACACTTACTTCAACCTTGATTATTCCAGATGTCACAAAAACCGAATCTAATAATAGTTATTGTTTTGTACATTTTTTTGAAGAAAATAAGGTAACACAGCTTTATATGAAACACTGTTTGAAATTTCTTTTGGAAATCATGCATTGCCACGCAGCCTACAGATTAGTCACTAATCTGCTAGCAGAGAATTAACTGATCTGTAAGTTGCGTTGATTTCCAAAGTTATGACAGATAGATAGAAGACAGATAGTGAGCACAGTGTACAATAGAGAAACTTATTGGTACAAATTTAAATTTTTTTTCTGACGTACAGTGTAGTGATAAAAATCTTATGCAGTACATTATGTCAAAACATGAATTAAAGCTATCAGAAGTACATATAGCAAGATCACTTTTTTTGAGTGCTTGAAAAGTACAACTATAAATAGCAGTCGTAGGACTTTTCAAGCATAATATTTGTTTTCTTTATGGAATTTTAAAGGCTCAAAGCTTCTGAAACTGAGGAAAAGAATAAAGTCAAGGAACTTGAAGATACACAGGTTTGAAAACAGCATTATGCTCACCTTAAAAGTTCTGTGAATGGTGCACCATACTCCTGGAAAGTTCATTGCGGTTGTACAACATGCTTCCTGAAATTCTACCTTATTTCAGACTAAAGATCAACATGTGATTTTTCCACCTTCATTATCTGCAGTAATTGTGTTGACTCAATGAAGCATAGTACCTAATTTCAGTCACCACTCTCTGCTTCCAACCTTAAGCTGCATTTCAGACCCAAACGGTTAACATGTGATGACCAAATAAGAAAGTACATTGTAGCTCCTCCTCACCCCTCTCTGTCTAGGGGGCCTATGTTATATGTTTTGATGATTTGAGATCGTATAAATTTGAACAACTTTCTAATTATGTGCTGGTTTGTTTGTTCATGCAGCTACAACTACAGCAAGTTTCTGAACATGCAAATACGTCTCTTCATCAAGTGCAAGAACTTGAAGTAAGTCAGTTGTCTGCCGCTCGTCATTATTATTTATTTCATTTATCTGCTTGCTTATTCGCCTTTCATCTTTCTAATTGTTAGAATGTTCACTTCTCATTTTACAGGAAAAGAATAGCGCTTTAACATCATCAATGCGAGAGTTATCAAATACGATAGGACAGCTTCAAGCTAGAGAACAGGAACTTTTAACAAAACTTAAACTTAAGGTATGTTAGACAAGCCAGACATCGCAAAGTGAAATGCTATCATTTGCTAAGTTTGTCTTAATTGACAAATGGTCTACCTTTGACGTTTTTAATTTTGCATCGGTGATGTAACGTTCTGCCGAAACTTCTTGTCTGGAGCCCTTTTCTGGATGATCCCTGTCCAAAAAGCTCTTTTATGTATGCCCTGTCAACATTCAATATCCAGGAGTAAATTAGAAAGCAATACAATGAAACTGTGAAGGACAAAATGGACATTTTTTTCTGAGTTAGGACCCAGTTAGGACCTGTTTACATGAAGGTGGGGGACCCCAGGTAGGTGAGGTAACATGTGGCAAGTTACCCCACCTAACATGTAAACCTGACCACGTAAAATGAGAGATTATATGGATAGGCAGGTTACCCCACCTAAGCGGGTTACCTCACCTACCTGGGGTCCCCCACCTCCATGTAAACAGGCCCTTAAGGTTGAATCAGTTTGAACTCGACCAACACTCTTGTCCATCCCTGTCTTGATGAAAACGCTGGCAATATGGGGACGAGTCCTGCTCCTTAATTAACAACAGAGACCTTTCGTTAAAGAAAAACATACGCTTAAAGGGGACTCGAGATTTCAACTTTAAATTTCGACTGTAAAATTTTTTTGCTTTAACAGAGAACGACAAAGAAAGGTATCAAAATGTAACACGCGCGTGGGGGAAAATAGGGAAAACACACTGGTTGGTTAATTTAAAATTAGTGTGGATATATTCGAAGCATACACGAATACGGTATATTTGCCCATTGTAATTTTTTTAACGACGTTACTTGTTCAATACTACCCCGGTTCCAGGGAAGCGAAGCGAAGCCACGGCGCTGAAATCGAGCCGCGGGCGGGGAAGAAGAGAAAAACCTCGTTTTACTCTTCCTGGCCGCTTAGCGACTGGTTTTCGCCGCTTCGTGCGGCTTGTTCTCTCTGACGCGGAGAAAAATTTCAAGAAAAACCTCTAGGACCAGGGTACTTAAATACCATGCATGTACAAAGTATGGTGCATGTACTGGAGATTGCTGCCAATCTGTTCATAAACTGAGACTGACACAAGTTTTGTTTTTGTTAGGATAACGACATTATGGAAGCAAATGTGAGCTTAGGAGAATTACAGCAAAAGATAAAAAGACTTGAAGGGTTATGTCAGGTGAGGATTATTTCGTTATTGTTGTTATTTATTTAAAAAGAATGTATTTAATTATATCGCAAGCTATTTATTTATTTACAAGGCTCTCAAAATTGCATGTAACGGTAGCGATATTGAGCAAGTCACTTCACAGAATCTACTTGTGGAAACATTAGACAGCCACCTAAATTGAACTGAACATATTGATGACCTGTGCAAGAAAGTGGCACAAAGGATTGCTGTACTTAAAAAGAATAAGCGTAATTTGGGCCTCGCAGAGCGCACGCTGTTTTTTAATGCTTTGATTAAGCCCATAATGTTGTATGGATCTTGCGCATGGACCACGGCGACGGAACAGAATGTGAAACGCGTATTTAAACTGCGGGCAGCTTGCGTAATTTTAGATGCAAATATAAGAGATAGGAGTAAAGACCTTTTTAGACGGCTTGATTGGCTGCCGTTTAAGGACGAAGTAAATCTTCGAAAGTGTAGTTTATTACAATACCGTATTTATTCGAATTAGCGCCCACCTCGAATAAGCGCCCATCCTAAAGGCAGAAAAAGTTAATAAGCGCCCAGCCTCGAATAAGCGGCCACACCCTCCTCCTCCCAATCAAACTCAAATAAGCGCTCACCCCCACGCCACCCACTTGAGTGATTAAATTCTAATAAGAGACTTCCCCGAGGACGGAGTTTCCTCCAGAGTATTTTACGGAAACCTTGCTTTGTTACTTCTTCGCGTTTTTTTATTAACATTTATTGTTTTGTTGCAAAATAAACATACTTCACTTGCTGAAAATGGTGAAAATTTAATAAGCTCCCAGCCTCGAATAAGCGCCCACTCTCAAGGTCCAAAAATTTAATAAGCGCCCAGGGCGGTTAATCGAATAAATACGGTATTTATGCGCATAAGAAACGAAGATGACTGCCCAGACTACATAACGAAACTATTACGTAGAAACTCAGATGATCTCAGGAGTGATAGCAGAGCTAGCCGTTATGGAAGGTTCAATTTGGTATGTCCATTTTATAATAGGGAAACGGAAGGGGGGCGTACTTTTAAAGTTCGTGGAGCTAAGCTGTGGAATAGGATTCCTCTTGACATGCGCATGCGAAAGAAGGACACCGCTAGCGCGTTTAAGAATGCTCTTAAAAAATATTTTTTAGCCGATTTCTTATGTGTATAATGTTTTCATATTTTTAAATTCCAATGTAATGTACATACCACTTTTTCTTATCTTATAGTATTTTAAATTCGCTGTGTTTATCTTAGTAGTTTTTAATATTCGTAATTTAAGACTGGGGCCACTAGTTCATCAGTTTTTCTGTCATCTGTCTGATGTATATTGTCTATTTATCTTTTTATTCTAATGTACATATCACTCCTTCTTATCTTGCAGTATTTTAAATTTTAATTCTTTGTGTTTATTTTATTAGTTCGCCACTAGTTCATGTGTTACCCTTATTAAATAAAGTTGTTACCTTCTTACCTTAACTTACTCCATTTCACCGTGCAGGAACTAAGAAAAACTGAAAGTACACTTAGGGCAGAAAGAGACCAGTGGAGGGACCAGGCGACAGCGAACAAACATGAAGTGGAAAAACTTAGAAGTACGAAAGTAGAATACTTTAAACATTTGAACATTGATGGAGTCTCTGTTGTTTGCATATGCGGTTTGCCAATAAATAACCAAAATGCTGTTGATCTGAACTGTGTTTACTGGTGAACAAATGTAAAATGTAATCTTAAACAAACTTTACGTTTGTGTTGTTGTAGGTGACATAAGTAAACAGTTTAGTGACGCAGATGAAGTACAAGCTGAACTATCCAAGGTGACAGTGTGATTCTTTTTAGGTGATTTGTCTTTGTAAAGCTGTCGTTGTTGGCGGGCGAAAGTTGTATATAATTACTTTCGTATTGCCGTGGCCGCCAGAAGATTGGGAAGAACAGAAGTAGTGACCCTTGGGCCGGGCGTTGAGGCAAAGGGAGAAGACGGGAGAGAACCAAAGAAAACGCAAGCTAGAATTTTATTACTTGGCCAGAAAATTTCATTGCACTTTCTTTTTTAAAAATGAAAGTAGATTTCAAACTAATGTTGGCCGGTATAGTCAGCATTTTTCTCACTTGGTACCTGCCTGTTACATTCTTTGCGCTGTGATAGGCTCTCTGGCTTGCTGATTGTTGTGAATGGTCAACTATAAACGTTTTTTGTTCTCTATCTCCCAGACTAAGCAAGATGTTCTTGTGCTACAAAAGGAACTTTTCTTGTCAGGTGAGAAAGACCTTACTTAGTATTGTGCTTCTCTAAAAACACTTTTTGAGTTATTAAAAAAAGATAATTGTATGATATCTTGTTTTAGTACTGAATGTGCGTATCTTTACCTCCTCGAGCGGCAACATGCTGAACATGAAGTTTCTCGGGCCTCTTGTTCCCAATGGAATCCCGAGATCAAAACGCCTAGCGCCTGTTGTGTTTATTTGATTTATTTGTTTTAGTCATTTGCGCGGCCCCATTAGCCTTTGCCTTATTATTACTACCAAAGATTACGTAAAGGGATTATATATGTTTTTCGTTATATTTTTCTGTCATCAGGAGAAAGAGAGAAAAGGAAAGACCAACTGCTTGATTTACAAAAATCAAAACAAGAGAGAACGGATTCAGAACTTCAAAATCTTCGTCAAGTAAGTATATGAAGGTCTATCTGGCTAACCCTAACTCAATCAGTACAGGTCATTGACATTATGTCTCATACACGAACTCTGTTAAAATTTGGCTGGAATTGTGGGTTTGTAAAATACTGTACGGAGCCTGATAAGTGCCATCCAAATTTAAAATTTTTTTTTCAGTTTCTTTTTATCTTTTTTCGCGATGTTTCAGTTGGCATAAAATGTGTTCCTTCTTTGAAAATTGACATACTTTTAAACCTTTCCCTTTCTACACAATTGTATCCAGAAGTGAGATTTTGTTTTCAGGGATTTCCGCTGTAGTAGCGTGGTGATTATTTGCTCAGAAAATAAAAATGACAAGTCTCTAAATTGTCTACAGTGTTGTTTATTGTGCATAAAGGCCACAGGAGCCCTTATACGTGATTCTGGGACTCATGGTTTTGCAGCTGTGAGAGTCCTGTGACTCACTATAGCTGTTTTATAGATATATCGCCAAAAAACACGCAAACGTCATCTCAGAGCAGGGCACCTGTTACAGAAATCCTGCAACGTCGGGAGGAGAACGTCCGAAAAATCGACTCGAGAGTTTTTTGCTCGCGATATACAAGCCAGGACATTTTTCTAGTTTAAGTAATTCATTACAAATAGAACGAAACCTAAGGGATTGCATTTACTTATTTTCTCTACAGATCTGTGAACGACAACAACGCGACATTTCCTACAAGCAGCTGCAGCTACAGAGCTCTCACGACATGTTATCTAAACATGTTACAGAGGCTGAGTTAGTTCTTTTCTTTTTTTGCAGTTCTTTTTAGTTTCCTCTCATTTGTAGTACAAACCGTGAACAATTCTTGCTTCGCTCACCCGCTCATATATTATACTCAGGACTTATAAGTACTTAGGACTTGGTGCATTTTTTCCACCCCAAGTTCCGTATGGATTTGTTTACTAATTTACAACTGTCGTTGATACTTATCTACCACATACAGTAGTTAATGAAATCCTCAATTACAACTCATGCAGTTGAAAAGAAGAAAACTTTAAAAATTATGAGGTTTGTCCGAGTTGTTTTCTTTCCGGCCTGGATAAGTTGACAAGATTCACTGAAAAAATGGTAAAACATCACTTTTATGTTTCATTTGTAGTTCATAAATGTTATATATGTACGCATGGATACGGGTCCGATTCATGTTCACAATCCCATGGATTTACGACCAAAATGAGACTTTTGAAGATCCAATTACCTTTCCCAATACCGCAAAATACAAGCACAGTAGTTCTAATGGTAATACAAGAACTATAACTGTACATACTAAAATGGACTTGTTGTTGATTCGTTATCTTATTCATTCCATTTGCATGTTCTTCCATGCAGTAAGATGTCTGAACTAGAGTCTATTCCCCCTGATGAAGAGAAGAAACCCATCAATAGCTTTTACGACGCGACAAGTTTTCACCTTAACGGGGACTTATTTGAAAATCAGGTAAAAAGTCTTTCTTGGCAATTTCTTTATCTTTCCTGTTTAAATTTTGGATATAAGGATTTTAGGCCTTGACTATAGAAAACGGTCAAAACCATTTGATCCACGTCGGAGAAGATAACGGCAAAGAGGAACGCTTCAGTTTAGTCATAGCGTGTAAACTGTGAACAAACCGAGCAGATCGGCCGGGATTCTTCCAACAAAAACTGCAGTATCTTTGTTTTCGCCTTTGAAATTTCCCAGGCTTTCCCGGATGAATTTTGTCCGGGAAGACAAAAGATTGCATCAGCTACGTATTATAGTTTGAAGCCTTCTCGTGTGAACGTTTCGCAATGTTTTCAAAGGAAATAGGGGTGAGATAACGGGCCGAGGCTCGTTTCTCGAAAGTCTCGGTAACTTTTCTGGTTCGTAATCAAATATTGAAATTAAAATTTAAAGAATGAAAAAGCAGGTTTTCCCCAACAAACTAGTCCATAACCGTAATAAAATATAAGAAGTTGCCAAGCTTTTAACTCGTTCTTTCTTCAAAGTGCAATTTTTATTTCTGCCGCTTTTGATCTTGGTAAACCACCGGTTTGGTGATTAAAAGTTTTGTTTTCCCTCAGAACGAAATGCCAAGCCGGTCAATGGACTTTGATGGTATGTATAATTGTCAGTTGTTTCAGGTCAGACCATAGAAATTGATTTTAATACTCCACAGACTCAAAAGGTTTAATGTATGTCGTTTGAACGCTCCGAGAAAAGGGTTATGTTTCATCTTTTAAATATTTGAAAAGGTACATCATACAATTTGTTTGAATCTTGCCGTTTTCCTAGTTTCATATTTCTTCCCTTCTTTCTTCCTTTTTTTTTTTCTCAGCTCCTGTAGCTTCTAAAGGTGTCGACGATGACCTATCGGCTTACATCCCTGGTAAGATTAAAAAAGTTTATAAAGGTTTTGTTATGAAACCCGACTACAGTCGCAAACATACTCACTTCTGATCGTACATTACCTTACAAATCCCTCTACTTACGACTTCATTTTAGGTGGTGGAGGAATGTCCTCGCTTTCTATGCACGCCACAGCCGGAAGTGACTTGGCTGACGATTTCGACAATCTATCCCAAGATCCAATGCAACCCGCTGCGACATCAGAGAGAGTTTTTGCAAGTTCTAATACGGAAACGTTTTTGCCATCAAGGTAATTTGAAGCAAAAACCGTCCTGCTTATGTTAGCCTCTCCCTTTTTTTACTATTAACCGTTGTGACGGTTTTTTTTTCTTTCTTCCTTCAGAAATCCTGCTTACTTCAGCACACCTAACACACGAACAGACATGTACCCCCCGCTGAGTAACCTGTCAATCACGAGCGCTAGACAGGACGATCATAGCAACTTTCAGCTTCCCGGCTTCTCGGCTGGTAGCTCTGTGACACCTTTAAGACCCAGCGACGCCTATATACCTTATTCAGCTGGTGTGTCTGTGACAAAGACCTCGCCCTCTAAGGTAAGCTTGACACCTTATGAACTCGAACAAGGGCTTTTCCTCAATGGCTGACAGTGTAATTTCCTCCGCAGATTTTCTTTTGCCTTGTCACGCATTCCTCCCATAGTGCTTTATTGTTGTGTGACGAAGCAATTAGAATATTTACGTAGTTACTAGGTTGCTCAAAGAATACCACATGCACCATTCAGAAAACGTTGCAACCAATACCAAGCGATAAAGCCTCAAAACGACTATTTCTAGTTTTTGCTGAACCTTTAAAACACATCTCCTATCCTTACCCACCAGTTTTTACGTCTTTTTCTGCTATGCGCGCACAACATAAACGTTTTTTCTCAAAAAAAATATATCAGGCTGATAACTACTAACGTAATAATTTATGTAACTGATAGAGATAGGCCATGTAATATACTAACACAAGTTCACATAACTTGCTTTACAAGACAGCAAGTTTGTGTTTGCAAGTTAGTGAACTGTTCTCAGTTTCTTTCTCTCTTTTCATTGTTACCCCGTCCTCAGGCCGATGGGGATTCTTCACCGACCAGTAAACTTCATCGGCTGCTGGCTGAATCTCGACAAATGGTTCAAAACCTCGAACAATCTACTACATTCTCTTTGAGCGGAAGTCCCAAGCAGGTTAGCTTTTTGAAAAAGTCTCCAATGGACGTGTATCTAACCTTTGCACTTTAACAAGCACTTTGTTACAAGTAACATAGGTATAATACTATCATTGCAACCCATACTACACTACAATACATAACCTTTTCCCGTTTGTTAATCCCTCTTTTAATACTCTAACTAACCATTTCTTGTGGGTCAGCAATATTTTTTAAACGCTTAAGTTTTCACTCAGGTTTAGAGGAGATTTTTTGCCTGTAGAGCTTACCTTGATTTTTTTCCCGCACTTGTACTGTTTGGCCGTTTTTCCCGCCTTTTTCTAGTGGCGCCTAACTTAAAAATTTAGGTCTTAGCAGCTGTTTAATGTCGACTGTTTCCGTAAACTTTCCTTCAACATTTGTCGAACTAAACAAGCAATCATTTAGAATAGATCGCTCAAGATTGTTGAGACAGGTGTCAACATCCGTCCAGCCTTAAGGAATTTTGGAAAAAAGCCGAACCCCTTTAAGCAGGCCTTAAATTTGTTCCAGTTGTATGGCGTAAATGAGTAATCGTAGAGGTTTTTTATAGTTAATGAATAACACGCCCTTTTTTTACGCGTCTAGGACTCAACGGTGCCCACAAGTGAGCAGTATACACCACCGCAAAGGCACTTGGGAAGTCCGCTTCATTCTCGCCCGATACCGACCTCCGCTGAATAAAACGTAAGCAGGCGGCTATTTCTTTTTCTACGCCAACGATGACATTTTGGAACCGTAATTGGTATCAGAGGCTTTCTTATCCAAAGAACAGTCTATTGTTTTCCAGCCTAATCTTAGAATGCGTTACCTGTTAATTATCTGTTTTTCCTTCATGAAACTGCCTCATCAGACGACTTCAAGAATTAAAGTCTGTAAAATGATCAGCGTGATAAATCTGTTTTTCGTGACTGTACACACAAACTCTTAGGCCTCATTTACATGGAGAAAACTTGTCCGGGATCAGAGTAGGGTCACTTGCCTACCCAAGCTACCCTGGGGGGCGAGCCAACTTTTCATACATTTCCTTACAAAACGGGGCGAACCGTTAACATTATGGTATGGTTACCCTCCTAGCCGGCTAGCCGGGCCTCTTTTTCTTCATATAAACACTTTGGCTCACACAGCCGGGGTAACTCGATCAAAGCGAGACAATCAAAGCATGCGCGAGCACTGTTGCCTCGGGCAAAAGGATGGCTAAATTCGACTCGGCTGGGAGGGTAACCATTCAACCCGGGGCCTAAGATAATCTAACCTTATTTCTTCCGTTTGTGTTTATGCAACTCTCTTAGGGACGGACCATTAGAAAACTTATGGGGGGGGGGGGGCGAGGTAAAAAAAAAATTTTCGCGCAAGGGAAAAGAAAAGAAAAAAAAATTCGGGCACCCAAATTAACCCAAAAAAAAATTCATACTGTGGGCCAAAAAAAAATTAATAAAAAAAATTTAATAACAAAAAAAAATACCACCTGCACAAAAACAATTAACCCTAAAAAATATTCATGCTATGGGCTAAAAAAAAATTCATACAAGGAATTTCATAACGAAAAAAAATTCCTGCGGCTCGAAAATTCCCCTCCCCCCCCATAACTTTTCTAATGGTCCGTCCCTTATGTACTGTATAATTCACTGATAAAAGTTTTGTTGATTTTCAGAACAAGTGAACACAACTGTAAACAGGAAATGGCTTGTTGTAATGAAGTGGTCCCCTGCAGCGTCGTTATGGTTGTTATACGTCAAAGTAATGTGAATGGGCAAGAGAGAATGAGCTTATAGCAACAGATACACGTGATTCAAAATGGCTCTTTTATCTCTTTCAATCCCAAGATAGACTACCGAACGTAAATATTAAAGAAAAATCTCAATTTTAAATTTCCAAAAATATACTGAAACGGTCCTACAGTTTTTGTTGAGACCTCTTTGACGGAGCACAATCCTTTGTTTCTGTTCACAAATTATGACGGACGAGGTTTTTATTGGTCAACAGGATCACAATGGTAGTAATTCTATTGAACCTTGTGCGCCGTCAGGTCCGCAAAAACATGTAACAAAGGAATCTGATGGACCTCATAACCATTCAACTCTATTAACTACAGTTCGTCCCGTGAGTCGCTGGCCTAGGTAACGTAACCTAGATGCTTCAATTAACTATAATTTTAATTTGTAGTAAAGGTACACCTAGACTCCATAATAGAGTTGTTTTACTTAACCGCGCGTGAAATAGATAGTAGATTAATACCAATAAGACTAATAATCTGTCTACTTGTAATTGGCCCAGATTCTTACATACTGTTTCGTGCATTAAGTAAAATCACTCTACCCTTGAATTTTTTAATGATCTATACCACAAGAAACGAAAAAAGATCAGCAATAAATAAAAGAGTCATTCTTTAATATATTTTTAAAGCAATTATCTCGTTAAGAAAGTGTTCCCAATACTGGTGTACACAACTCTGCGTTCGTGCTTTAGTTCCGGATTTGCATACTTTTCATTCGCAGATTCAAGTTCAAATCATAGTCCTTTTTGCGTCAGGTCTTGTGTGGCTATTGTGTGTGACAATCTACTTACCTCTCTGGTAGAAGAACTTCGTTTTTTTATGGATTTTATCCTTTGTCTGGTGTATTCCAGTTCAGTTTTACTTTTATTAATATTGTTATACCTGTATTTAGTTGTAATTTGGATGATCCTAGGAATGAAAGTTAAAAGAGCAATTTCAAGGGTCTCTATGGTTTATTATATTTTATTCTGTCTATTTGATTGCGTTAGGACGAAACCTTTACTTTCCAGATTCTTTAATCCCAGTTCTATTAATATTAGGATGAACTACATCATGGTAGTGAAAATTCGTGTTTATCTAGACCCCTACGAAGTAACTGTACTATGTACTTAATCTAACAGTTACCACAGCAAAGCCGGATCGCTTCAGTTCTTTTTTCTTACTCGTTGAATGAAAAAAAATGATTTTACTTAGTTTATCATATTTAATAGCAAGTATTTAAATGATGTGAATCCTAGAGTTATGGTTTGAATGATTGATATATATATCTAGTTAATATTTCTTTGATCTGGACGAGTGAAATGGAGCTGAATTGTAGAACGTGAAAAAAATAAAGTTGTAAAAAACCCAGATGCATTGCTGTGTTACAATTCAAACTTTTAAATTTGTTATTGGGGACTTGGTCGAGCTGTTCTTGTTTGTTGATTGTTTTAAATTACAAGCTCAGTCTAAACTTGACTGAATATGGTAAAGTAGAATTCTTGTTTACAAAATCATTCAGATGATTTCCGAATATCGCAAACAACACTCTACAACAAATTAAGATAAAGAAAAACGGGAACGAACTTTACAACTTCAAAAATACAACACCAAACATTTTCTTATTAACAAAATAATAAAGCACAAAGAGATGGCACATTTTAAGAGTGATCTGGCTAAATCAGAGAGTTTAAGTTCTAGAGAAACAAAATGCTACAGGATCAAAAAATATATATCATTCCTGAAAAGTGTAATAGACAATAATAGACCTCTTTAGCTTGTATGTTTTGTTTTCCCAATAGAGGTCCCAGGGGAAATTCACTTTTTGTTCTTCATGCCTAGATATGCACGAAAATAGACGAAATTTGAAAGAAACCATTCTCTAGAGTATTATCCCATGACCTGTATTAGGAACATACAAGCTAAAGAGGTCTATTAGCCTAGATACCTTAACTTAGCCTGCGAACGCCAGACGTTTCTCCTCGCTCATCGCTGCTGAGGCACTTTTCGCGAGGAGGAACGTCTGCGACTCAGCTACAGAAATTCCATACTGATGAAGTAATTCAATGTTTACATAATAAATCTGGTAGTCATGGGGTTCCAAAAGCAAATTTGTTCAATTTTACGATTTTCCTGGTCGATTTTGTGTTGTGTATATTCCACAGGTATTGCCTGTTTCGTTATAGATTCATCGCGTTTATTTTGCCTTCTGTCTTGTGTCTGTCATTCGTAAACAATGGCTAGACCAATGTAGCTACTCCAACGTCCAATCAGCGCTTACGACCGGATTCCGGACAGATTTTACGTCATCAGTATGGAATTTCTGTCGCTGAGTCGCAGACGTTTCTCCTCGCGAAACGTCCCTCGTCGGCGATGAGCGAGGAGAAACGTCTGCCGTTTGCAGGCTAACCTTAACTTGCTCACTGATTCATCGTGTGTCGACTCCAGAACCTTGGGTCTTTTTTTGGGGGGGGGGAGGGCGCTTAATCCTTAGTCATGCGCGATACAGAATAGCTGTGTCTAGCTGTGTCCGGCCATGGTCTGCTCATGCGCAGTAGAGAAAAAAAGTTCTTTTGCTACTGCTGCATTCAATGCTGTCCCCATCAACGCAGTGAAGTCCCTGAGTTGCAGAGAGGACCCTGGGAACGAGGTTGCCTGTGTTGGTGGCAAACTGCACACAACTTCTGCAACTGCCGGAAATAAAACTTATCCGCCAGTGGCTCATATTTGGAAATTGCTCTTACGGCAAAGAAAAAATAAACCTTGTGCGAGACAAGCCGAGCGTGAGTTTGTATACGTCATATTTCGACAAACGCTGAACAAAAGCATGAAGTATAGTATCATAATAATTAATCATAACTTCAGGATAATGTATGTACACCTGGTACATTGAATTTAGACTGCAAAACAATCGGTTATGCCCCAAATATTATCATTTGCATTTTGAAAATTACTTGACAGAATTTCTCTCCCGTTAAAAGCCCATGGGATTCTGAGTTGCAATTTCCCTTTCTATTACAAGCCCCTCCGAATGAAATCCCCCCAAAAAGGCTTTTAAAAGGTCTAGATCCTGGGGCTTTAGAACTTTGTGGTATGACAACTACTGACAGCACTTAATTTCCCTCTCAAGTATATTGACTCTCAAGTATTTTGGTTTTGTAAAAATAGCAATGAATTGCCGACAGGTAAAAACGACGGCTATTCGTGTATGCTGAAACAAATTAAAGATAGTCAGCAATTTATGAATAAATATTTATAACAAAAATAAAATGAATCTCAAAATCTAATTTGAGATAGTTGATCGTGAGTAAAATATTATCGGCATAGTGAATCAATTTCAAAAAATGAACAAGAGAGAGAGACAGGAAAATTCGTGCTTCCGCATCGCAAAATTTGTTTTCAAAACAAGAAATTCCTAAATTAAATCATTTTCGAGCAGGGTTTCTCCGCTTGTCACTTGTACCTCAAGAGTAGAGAAATTAACGCGGAATGAAACGCGTTGGACGCTTTCTACAAGTACATGTACAGTTCGTGACAGTATTCCGAAAATTCCATGTTTAAAATGAAACGGTCCATTTGAGTTAAAAAGAGTTCCATCTCACATAGCTTCTGGAGTTTTCAGTTCCACTTGATCTTGCGGTTGGAAAGTACCGAGTTTCAGTTGAATGATCGCACATTAATTAACCAAAGGCTCTTCGATTTTCTGGGAAGATCGAAGGGCCCGGCTCTCACTGGTTCGAAGGAATCTTGTTGCAAACTTAAACAGTTAAATACCTTCGAAGTATTGCATTCTTTATTTTACTACTATAATCTTATAGTTTTCTTATTTCGCTATTCATTAACAATTCCAAGTGAACGAGGCAGATCTTAGTTTTAAATTCAATCGCAACAGAAACATACAATTCAACAAAAAACTGTAAAAAGTTGTCCATTGAAAACTGATCTCTTTCTTTCATTATATAAAATTAATTTGTCTTTCGATGGTTGGCTGCATTGATAAAACAGGTGAATTGAACAATTTGTCAAAAAGAGAGATCCGTTCGCGGCATTTCAGTCCATTTCAAAATGAATTAGATATTAGTGTCTTAGCGGTTGTGCCAACATTTTGCTGAAATTTCTATGAAATTTCACTCTCGATCCAGCACTTTCTAATACCGATATATAAATTGCCTTCAGCCGTTTTGTCTTAAATTCCGGCTACAAAAGAAGTGACCAACAATTGATCGCATAATTGTCGCGTAATTTTTAGGGCGAACGCACGTAAATTTTGCGCAAGTAAATAATTAAAAATAAGACGCAATACATGAAAGGTCGAAGGTAAGCGTGAAAATTGAACGTCGCTCAACTTCTCGTTTAAGCTCAGCAATTTTTATCTTTCCCCTGCTTTATTTACGTGATTAAGATTTGCATGCGTAATTAAAGTGGTAGCCAAAAACGCCTCAGTGGAAATCAACCTTCAACCTGTCGCGGCCTTGTGCTGTTTACCAAAATATCAAAATATATTATCATGCAGAGCATTTATTTTGGGCTTGCTAGATTTTAAAACTAAAAAATTATAATTTATTTCTTTTATTCTAACAGAGAGAAATAAATCCGATTAATTTGTATGTTACAAACCCCCTCGGAAGAATATTTTACGTTCTCTGAAGGACTCGAACCCAAGTGTATATCAGTAACTAGTTAGTAGTTTGGACAACTCAGCCATTGAGCTATATGTATTATAAAGCCAGTGAGAGAGATCAAACTAGTAAGGTCTCTTTGGAAGCGTCATATGAATATTCAATCACAGTGAAGTCCTTTTTAGCAACAGAGACTTTTGTGATTGAGTATTTCAGGAATATTCTGGAAGTTAGATACGTTGCACGCCATTCTTAAAGGCTAACAAGGTCTTATCTTACAAGCAACTTTTTTGACGTTCCTTAACTACGTTTCAAATCAAAGAAAGCAGACATTTTATTTTAATATGAACGTAAATAACATTAAATAGTATGAAAGTAAAGAGAATATGCAAATAATGTGCTCATGGTGTGCTGAATATGGTATCAGCGACGTACCATTAGCGACAAAATGATCACTTAGCAACCCTTAAAAAGAGGAAGACGTATTTTTTCAAATACTAGGAATTTACCAGTGTTAGTTGTTTTTACCAACCAAGTGCCATTTTACAATTTATCAAGTAGTTTATTTTAAGTGTAGATTGTTCTAGTCATCAATTCAAAACTTCGCTTTGTGTTCATCATTCCAAGGAGAACAAAAGCAAAATTTGCATAAAGTGGTTGTGTTTTTCAAAACAGTGCTGCAGCGATCAAAGGCCTCTACGGTAGATGGCAGGTTAAAGCTGCAACCAGCTACCACAGTAACGACGAAAATTTCTAATTGCATCGCTGCGTTTCATTCTTTCGTATTGAACTGGCATCGTAAGTGCGCTGGCTTCGACAGAAGACTTCAGTTAAACACTCTGAGTGGCAAGTTATGAGAAAACATGGAGAGAGCAGTCGACGTGGTGCAAGACCGCGCTCCAATATGGCTGCGATCGATGCCTTCCGAAGCTACAAAAGATCAACGCAAGGAGTCGTTTAAGACACGCGGACCTACAAGAAAGCCAGAAGCCCTGTGGTCTAAGACCAAAGAACCAGAAATCGTCCTCGAGACAGAAGCCTTCCAGAAGAAGAAGCAGAAGAAAAAATTGGTAGAAGATGACGAGCTTGATTTCACTAAGGCTCGAGAGAAACTTCGAGAAAAGTTTGAATATTTGCTCACCATTCCAGCTGAAATAAAGGAAAAGTTTCGGTCAATATGTCTGCGAGATACAGCTTCCAGAGTGGAAGTATCAGAGGCCGAAGAATCAAGATCCGGTAAAGAAATTGATTTTGATAGAGAGTATGACATCATCGAGTTACATGAGCACATATTGGTTATTGGAGGAGCATCAGGGGGACAGGGGAATGAGCCGACTGATAAAGTAGAAGCCTATGACATTATGAGCGGAGAATGGCGACAGATCGAACCCTTACCGCTGGAAACTACGGCTTGTTATGCCACGGCAATTACAGGTAAAGTCAGCTATACAACAATAACCACAATATATACACTAAGTCTGTTCGATAAGCATCACAATAAATTTGTGACAACTTCCGTTTGGTAGGCAATAATTCCTAACATAATAAAGGTTCTTGGAACATCATAACCGTAACAAATTCTCTAATCGCCAGCAACTGCCCTGTAGTAAGAAATTTAGTTGATCACAGCATATTACGTAATTTTGAGTCTTTGAGAAATGGAACGCTATTAACAGACCCGAAAGTTATATAGTATTAGAGCAACATAATCAGCGCGTGTATCCTTTACATCAAATTGTTAAAATATACTGAGCACGCAAACATGACTGTCTTTGTTTCCGAAAGGATTTTTCATGACAAGCACTCAAAACAATACAGAAATAATGTAGAAGCAATGATCCGAAGCACGCCAATCTCTGTCACGTGCAGTTTTTCCGTTTATGTTAATATTAAAATACTGAATTAGTTAACAGAAGGTCACAACTTCCCCTGAAAAAAAGGCTGTACACAAGCTATCACAGACTCCCCCTCACCTCAAGATTTTTCGGCAGCTTACACAAGAAAGACGAAACTACAGGGGCGTCAAAAAATCAATAGGTTGCGGAATAAGCAAAATCTGGCGTCAGCCCTTGCAAAACAAACATCTCTTCACTTGCACTCACTGCATGATTACGACGTGATATTTCGTAATTTCGCCATTTATGGTGGACGTTGGAAAACACAAGATTCTGTTTCTTTCTCTGAACTTGGATACGGACCTTACGAATTCCAGTCTAGCAAAATTCGCATACTTGTTGGACGGAATGGAATCATCTCGATCAGGGCAGTTCGCAATAATGCGAATTCACCTGTTGCGGGCGCGGTTCGATTGATCGTGATCCGGAATAAAAATAATCGGAATTAACAATACAAATAATTTTTTTTGGCATTTAAAGAAAAAGCTGTTCGAAATAAAACATTCCGAGGTATGTAGCGTTTTATTGACCAAAAATCATTGTAGAAGAGATTGGTAACATAACTTCTGCGTATTATTATTCCAGAATACAGTACGATCAATCCAACGCACCTTTAGTGACGTTTTCGCTGACGTCGCTGGCTCGAGTCTAGCCTGTTCCAGGCTCCGAGATGGTGGTGGAAAGTCGTTCAGTAATAAGAAATGCGAAAAACGCGCGGGCGCTGGGGAGAGACAGGGCCGCCCCCTTTCCCAAGTCGTGCGCGTCTTATTTTCGCTTTGCTCGTTTTAATACGTTCCCACTATACTATCTGAGAGCCTGGCACAGGCTAGCTCGGGTGGGCCTTACACTGAGGCAAATGAAATAACTGCACCTCACTGGGTGGCCGGCGTGGGCCTCCAGGTTGTGATTTTTATCCTCGACGCCTCTAAGACCTTTACTGAATGGCCTACATATGGCTAGACCCTCACTATGGTGGCTCAATGACTGACAGTAAAATGATCGCCCTCCTTTAGGTACAAGAATTAACTGAGCCTTTACAAACAACGGGGGAAAACTGCAAGTTTGTCTACTTATGGCTTCATTCATATTTGCGTTATTTTCACTGTTCTATTGCGTTTTTATTAATAAAATAGTTGTGGTGGGAAATTTTCCGCCAAAACACCTCCAGTTGCCTGTGGTCTAATAGCTGTTAATTGAGTTATGTTACATTGGTATGCCTGCGGTGCGGACGGTCGGACAGGCATACAGTCACGTGATGAACAAAATTTCTCAGATTCGCCATTTCCACATTTCCCATAATGCACCTTATATGCCCCCCAAAATTTTGCATAAGCATCGTTTTAAATTTCTCTTGGGACGGCCAGGAGAAATGAAAAACAAAGGTTATGCAAAATTTGCGGGGGCAAATAAGGTGCATTATCGGAAATGTGGAAGTGGCGTAAGGATAGATAACCAAGTTTTCTTAGGTATGAGGCTCCACTCGAACGCTCGAAACGCGTGTGGAGCTCTGCTAAAACAGTAATATCCTCATGGTAGACTTAAAGCTTTTAAGCTCCCTCCCGTCTTGTTGACACTGACCAGGCTTCATTCTTACCAGAGCTGTGACTCTTTTTTTCAGGTATTCCTGGGATTGTTGTTGTAGGAGGTTTCGGCGACTGGAAAGCACTGAATACAATCCAGATGTATGACTGGGTGGGCAAGGAGTGGCATGTACTCAAACACATGAGAAAGAGACGCTGGGGGTGTTTCGCAACAGGAACAGAACACGGAATTGTTGTGGCTGGCGGCTGTGATCAAGGCAGTGTGTTAAATAGCGTGGAGTTGTACAACATGAAAAAGAAAGAATGGTACACATTGCCCTCAATGTTGGAACAACGCTGCAACTTCGGTGGTGCTGTTATTGGCCGCAAACTGCTGATAGCCGGTGGTGGAGCTGGTTTTTATTTCAACAGTGCCAAAAACACAGCGGAGATTTTTGACGGAGAGCAAGGAAAATGGACAAAGTTACCCCCTATGAGGCGCAAGCGTTATGGTTGCGCGGCAACAGCGTGGAAGAACAAACTTTTTGTGGTTGGAGGCTGTGACAGCAATGGAGATGACATCTTAAATGTGGAGGCGTTTGATATCGAAAGTCATGTTTGGCTCGATTTACCACCATTACCCGTTGGGTATTCGTTGTGCCGGGCGCATATTGTTCAGAATATGCTGGTAGTGTTCGGGGCTGATGGAGGAGAAAATGCTAATATCGTGTATGCCTTGGATTTTGAACTTAACAGTTGGAACAAGTTTATGGAAATACCGCAAGGACGTAACGCTTTTGCTATAGCAGTGGTTGGTGTCTAGAAACCGAGAGCAATTAGCCTGCGAGCAAGATCTCCTTTTGGGGGATATCGTGAAAAGGACACGCGCGAGTGGCACGCGAAGAGCCTCACAGCTTCGCGGCTTCCTCGCACGTCCTCGAGTGGCTCGCTTCGCTCGCCCAAATAGGAGAACTTGCTTGCAGGCTAGAGAGAAATTTGGAAGGGACAATTAACGAAGAAAAAGCATTTTGTATCATAAAATTATACTAGAGAATTTCCTTCCATGCATTTTCTATTTAAATGGTCAATGCTTAGTTTAACTGATAAAATACCGGAATTTCGAATCTTGCGAGCGAAGTTATTTTCATTAGTGGCTGTAATAACAACTGTGTTACAAAAATAGCAAATATAAAATAACTGACATAACTGATCCTAAGTTACTGGCCCCTTCTTCGCTCTGCAAGGTACGTTGTAAATGTAGGAAACCTGTTCGAGAGCACAGGTATCTACCAAATACAGTTTGATATAAACGATCAAACAGTGCTTTAACCGAGCGAACAATTTGTCTGCAAGTCCGTAATGGAGTTTATTTCAGTCAGTGACTGTCTTTAATCATGTCAACTACGCGACTGACAAGCGACGCGAACGACTTCGTAAACGCTAAAAGCCATGCAGGATGGTATTTTATACAACTGTATTTTGCTGCCCATAGTGAAGTATTGGGCAAGGCGAGTTGACCGTAAGTGTTATCTAAAATGTGTTTTTTATATTTTTTCACAGAATAGTAATAAATGTTAGACGATTGTTTACAGTCACTCTACGAAATGAAAAGATTTGAAGTCGACAAGCCGAAACAATGCATGCCTACGGCAAACATATACAGAAAGATGTCGAATATTTATTTGGATTGCATTAAACACAAGATCGACGTTATTATTATAATTCTTCGTAAAGGACAGTTAATGTAGACAATTTTGTGGAAAATTTTCAATTAAAGAATTTCATAGGCTGCTTTTCATAAAATTTTAATAGTACGATTGGCCATTTCCAAGTTTTGCCCTAAGCCTCTGTTTCAAAGCGAGGCTAAGAGCCAAGCCATTGACATGAAAATGATTTTAATCATAACTCATACAAATAACACTCATTTTCACTAGAAACGTTTTGCACGTAGCCTAGTTTGAAAAGCCGAGAGATTTTGAGACTTGGAAATGGCCTGTTGACTTGATCGGCGTTTTTGCTAGCCTAGCAGGAGGACTTGGCCTGCAAACGCAAGCGTATTTCTGGTTTCGAGTGGAGACAAGCTATGTCTGCGTTCGCATGCTAAGGAAAGAAGGTTTTTAAATTTTATTTTGTTTACACTAAACTAGCCGCATTTCATACTAGCAGCTGGGAACGCTAAAAACACTCATGGGGCATTTTCTTTTTATTTGCACATAGCTGAATAAAATAAATCCTCGTGCACAAACACTGAAAATAGCTGGGACATGTAAAATGAAAGGTAAAAAAGACGGTAAAATTATTTTTATTAATTTTAACCAAGTTCAAGTTTGTACTGCAGTTTTAGTTAGCCTGGAGTTCATGTTAATCCTTAATTACATGTTAACTGAGTTCAAGATAACGGAACTCTCTATCATATCTATTGCAAATCAAATAAACGCACATCAGATTGAAGCAATAAGAGTGGCGCCGCCTTCCAAAAAAGATGCCAACGAGAGTTGTTTTCAGTCAACAGTACCGCTTACCTTTTTTTCCACATTCTACGACTTCTCACTGTGAATATTGTATTGTTTTTCGAATCCATTTCTTGAGCTTCAACACATCCGCATACACGCCATACCCCTCGTAAGGTCCACACCCAGCACTCCAACTGGCCACACCCATTAAGTACCACTTTCGGTTTTTTTCACACACCAGGGGCCCTCCAACGTCGCTTTTACACACACCATCTCCTCCCTTAGGGTAACCAGCACAACGCATGCGTTTTGTGACCCGATAACCAAAAGAATGCCAGTTCCTGTATCTTCTTTTGCAAGAAACACGTGACACCAGAGGAAGTTTGGCTTGCTTCAAAACCTGAGCAGAAGATAACGAAATATCTCAAAGACTGACGGGAAATAATTACAAGAGGGAAAGAGAGAGAGAGAGAGTGGGGTGCACTCAAGGGAAATGTGGTTAAAAGACAAATATTATGCTCAAGGCAAAACAAAATTTGATACCTTGAAGTTCTGTTTAGTACTCCATTTACCATATTTTCCCCAACCAGTCACGAAACACTTCCACCCTGTAGCAAAGTCTGTTTTTGGAAGGCAGACGGGTAGAACTCGGTCATTGTATTGTAGAGTTGCGTTCAGCTTCAGTAATGCCACATCGTAATTGTAAATACTGTTTATGTTGTATCGAGGATGTTTGTAGAGTCCTCGTATAAAAATTTCTTGCTCGAATCCATCAGAGGTATGGAGATGGTGGTCACCTAGTTTAAGGGAAAAGAAATATGGACGTGGCGGTCAAAGGTGTTTTGGACGTGTATGACATGTTATATGCACTGTCACAAAGCCAGCCAGGTTTTTCCGGAAGCAGCCGGCCGTTTCCCGCTCCTCCAATTCAATTTCTAAGGGAATATGCCCCAAGTGGTCCTTTTATCTCTTAATTGAATATTAATGAGGAAAAGGCGAGGAAGATACGCGCGAAGGAAATAGGAAGTTTTCTTTTCCCGCCTCTCTCCTTCCTATCGTTCCCCTCCCCGAATGACGTAATAGTCTCCTGCGACTATCCCGTGGGCGCTTACAAATGAAAAGAGAGGATTAGGGACGAGTCAGGAGAAAAGCCCTTCAGTGTCTCTCTTAGGGAGCGCCTGGGATCAGGCTTGATGATTTGTCGTCTCTTAGGGAGCGCCTGGGATCGAGCTTGATGATTTGTCATCATTTGCAATACTTTTCGAAAAACTGCACGTCAATGTCGAGAGAAATTCAATGTATATGTATATAATGATGTATTAATTCAAGATTGAAGTAATGAATAACAACTAGTCAATAGACCTATTCGGCTAACTTAACGTTGTACCCAATTCAAATCTCTCGGGGTTAAGATTCTTTGTGTACTGTATTTGCATTATAATGTTGCATTCACATTTAAATGATATGGAAATTCCTTAAACAAAACGTTGATTCCCAAAGGGTTTGAATTGGGTACATCATTGAGTTAGCCAAAGAGGTCTATATGTTCTTCCAGCGTATTATCATCATCATTACTATTATTACAACTATTATTGTTATTTAGATTGTTTTTCTACCTACCTGCAACGACAGTGAAGTCTTTGTGATCTTGTCCATCGAAGCAATGTGCGGCTGTTATGATCCATCGCTGGTCTATAACCGAGCCTCCACACCAGTGCCCTTGGGATTGGTGTTTTATTGACACTTGCCAGGGCCACCCCCCTGGTTTTGTTTTTGTGCCCAAAACTGTCTTTTGCACTTTACTGCCACAACCAGGACTTTCTAAAATAATAAGAGAAGTAAATTAAACTTTTTCATTTTGATAATGATAAAACGTATAAATGGTATGATTAAATAGCTGGCAACACTGAACGTTTTGTAATGTTTTGCACGTACTATATAGTTGAATTAGTTCTTAAATTTAGACTAATAGCTTTTGCAATACTGTAATTCCTTTATGGTCATGCAAATAAAGCATTTGTTGTTGTTGTTGAATATTTGTTCCATTGCAGTGCTGATATTGGTAGAAAGAAGCAGTTCTACTATCAGTAACGCAAATACCGAAGCTGATCTTAATTGTTGTTCTTAGATTTTGTTTCGAACTTTTGAACGTAGACACTCGCTGCTATCTTGGAAGCTAACATTCTCTTTGCAAAGCCCTTTCAGTCATTCTGGTGCAGGGCAACAAAAGAAAATTTAATGAGAAGAAGAAGAAGATTTTGCGTAGTTACTTTTTAAGTGACCTTCAAAACAAAACTTAAGTAAGGCTCGTTAAATAAAAACAAGGGCCAATTCCCATATTTTGACAGGCAAAGGTAAGATAAGGGTTAAGCCTGTTATTGATAAAACCGATTACTTACTTACTAAGTAACTAACAAGACAATTTCCTCAGTCTCTAGGTGTTAAATGTTGGCCGGAGAGTTCAGGTCATTCTCTGCAGAACAGTAGACTAAGTTCACTTACATCCCAGCCATATGTATTCCCTTAGGAAGTAGCCTCGGGTATATCCATATTACGCAGTATGCCTACTCGCTTACCAACTTTGTAGAAACAGAAAAGCATTTCATCTATAACTCTGTTGTGCATTCCAACCCACTGTACGTCCCAAAACACTGTCTGACCAGTATTCCTCGCCAATGGCACCTCCACAGACACCTCAATGCCGCCGCCATCCTCATCTATCTTTACTTGGGGGTTCTGAAAGGTTTGATCATCATACTGGCTCAAAAAGCTGAATGTTTCGGTAGTTTTGTTCCAGCACAAGATGGTAATTGGACTGTAGTGATGAAACTTCCCAAAACAAATCCCAGTATATAAATCCGGTGTCAACTTTTTGACATTGCCTGACCAACTTACAATTGCTTTGTTCGAGAGTGAAAGGACTTTGGTGTGGCACTTGTTGTAGTTTGGACTCTGTGAACTGCTTGTTTCTGAAGGTGAAAACAAAATAGTCCGAGTTAATAATAATAATAATAAAAACTTTATTAAACTCCTCAAAAAGGCTTTTCAGCTTAATTTACAATGTCAAATATCTAAAACTTAGTTTTCCAAAAATACCCTTAAAAAATGCTGTTTTATTTTAACCTTAAATACATCTAAATTAGTGATAGGTTTTAAAGTTAAAAATAAAGAAAAAAAAACAGCAACACTACTTAATATGAACTCCTTAAAATACTTGTTTTGTAAATTGTTTCTGTTTCCGTTAAGGAAAAGAAGGAGACGAGAGAAGAAGATTTGACCGTCGCAGGAAAATCATCTTAGGGCCATGACTGGGAGACTACGGTGTGACTGTAATGATGCATCATATTGAAATATTATTTATTGAAAAATTTATTATTATTATTATTATTATTATTATTAAAATATTATTTAATGAAAAATTTATTCATTTATTCATTCATGTCATGGAAAAATTTTCTTCTCGCGTTCTTTACTTATAACCAAATGCGCCGTTCTTTTTCACAGCATTTTTCCAGCTGATGTAAAGAACTTTAACGGCAAACCGGCCTTTGTCATTGATGATAAATGCTATTTTGAAACTCCCGAAAATTCAGAATTCAGGTAAAAAAAACTCAGGAAAGGATCAGGGCTCTGGTTGCTCAAGGGCGATTAATGTATTAGGCTTGCAACTTCCTCTTCGTTCAGCTCACTTGCTCTACCTTGAATATTAAATAGTCTCAGCTTCTCTACTAATTCTTTTCTTTCTGCTCCTTGACAACTTCTTTGATGCACGATGTCTACCACTTTCACTCAGTAAAACATTATCCTTCAGGAGCTCCCTTAACTTATGGATGATAACTAATTATTTTCTTAAGTAATTACTTGTAATTGTATAACTATAATGGAAGCTAAAATTCTTTTGCCAAGTCTTTTCAGTGGTTCTGGTGCAGGTTATGTGACTGATATCAATTCCTAAAGTACAGTTAAGGAGAAGACAACTCCCATATTCAAAAATGCCAGCAGCCGATTGAAGGTAAGATCACTGAGTGTGTTTCAAAAACGGAGAACGTAACTACACAAAATAGATAGCAAACCTCCAACGTTTAATTGCTGAAAGGTATAATAGTGTAAAAGTTCTCATTCCAAAGATAAGCATTTTCCGAGGACCGAAAAGTTTTGAGATGTCCGGGAGCCCAAAAACCCTGTTTATTTACGGATACTCGAAAGAAGAAATGCTTAACTCTCTCTCGTGATCCGACACTTAGAACGTCCCAGAACCTTTTGAAAAGCTTCCTGCAAACAACGAACAAATGTCCATGCATATTTCAACCTGATTTTAAATAAGAATTGTTAGCAATCGACAACATTTTATATTTTACCATGGGCGGATTAATGGGTGGGCCGAGGGGGACGCGGCCACCCCTTTCAAATTTTGTATTTGGCTTATAGAATTCTCAGAAAAATAAAAAGTACCTTTATAACTGGCTAGTGGGCAAGTGTCCCGGCGCCCTTTGGCAAAATCAGCGAAAGCAGGAAATAAGTGTTTAGATTAGTTCTTTTTTAATCTGTATCTTTTCACCACAGTCAATTAGGTTGCAATGTTTATTGTTATTTTTGGCAGGTCTTCACCATCGGCACCAGTGCATTGGTTACCACTGCAAGGGTATAGCCCGAATACCCCAACAGTTAGGAAAATGACACTGAAGGCGCCCGGAATAGGCAAAATCCGCGGCGAAACCGAAAAACGCGAAAAGGCTTGAGAAGCAAACAGGCCAGCGATGGTGAGTTCAGTAAAATTATAAAATACAATTAAAATATTGAGTGGAGTATGATATCTTGCATCGATGAGAAGTCAGTAAAGTCTTAGAAGTCACCGATTATATAAATTTTTAAAAGAATTAAAAGTTCACTGTGTGAACGTTATCTCAACTTCCTTATTGCCAGGTTTTTGTTTTGAATGAGCCAGAAAAAATTCTGATGACAAAGTACTCACCCGCTAAACTGTAAACTGAAAACATTAACCTACGCTGCACTACCATTAGACCCATTAGACCTCACCGTACTGATAGTCAATGCAGCATTGTAAAACAAACCTTAATCTAGTATTCTATTATGTTTGTTTATCCGTAACCTGAGTTGAAAGAGAAGTGGGAGCTTTAGCCATTAGGACTTGTCGCACATTGCAGTCTTTATAGTTTTCTAACTAAGACTTGGTTCCACTCAACTTTACATTTGAATTGTAAAACAACCATGAATTTTTACTTACCAACAAACACAGTTATTGCGATGAAGAACAATGACATAATTAGACGTTCAGATTTCAACATCATGTTCAGCTTAGACCTATAGAGATGACATAGAATTTAAGCCAAATATGTACTTTGATATCCACCTCTCCAAAAACACACTAAGAGAGCTAAATTTTAAATCATGAAGTGAGCTGAATCGAGGCAACAGTTCAATTTGGTTTTTGTCCAATCGCAGTTGGTCTGAAAAGAACCTGACAGAATTGACTGGGATCGAACTTTGTTTTCCTTCCTATTTAAGTTACAAGACGCTAACTTGACCTTAAGCCCTTCGGAGAATAGTTAAGTAATACAGAAAATAGGAACGTTACACTACAGTGACACTAGAAATTGGTCGCTTTCCAATGGTCATTATGCATGATTACGTCAGATGACTGGGCAAATTTCATCATTAGTAACCGGTGAACGTTTTGATCAATGAACTAATGAACGCATCCAATTACTCTATCAATATACAGTTCATGAATTATATTTCGGTTTGCTTTGACTTTTGCGGCGAATTATCAAGAAAGTAGCTTAATTGTCCGGTGTTCAAATTTTACTTAATTTCTTGTTCTTAAAATACACAATTATATACAGCTTTAATCTGCAATACTGTTTGTACTTGGTCCTGCAAATAAGGCTTGTTGTTGTCGTCAGTGTCATCACAATCCTCGCTTACAAGCAAAATTGCACTCTTTCTGGATGAGTATTCTTTTGAACTATAATGCCTTGGAAATTCATTTACGCAAAACTTCGCAACTTTACCTGATTTCAAAACGCAGCTTGGTGGTTAAATTTTCTCGTCTGACCGGAAACATGCATAAGGGCTATCCCGCTTGAGTCTTGCAAACTCTCCTCTAAAATGCCTGTAAAACTAACTCCTAAATCAGTCCAGACGCTTAGCTTCTGTCGATTCTCCAGCCCTTACTTTCTTATTGTTGGTTAGCAAAGCTTATCAATGTACTCAAAGAATTCAAAAAACAGCTGAAAGCCTGAAACTACCAATGAAAATGTCCCTATAGGGTTACAGTCTTGCGCAACATTTTCTTTGCCACCGGACACGGGATGAACCGAAAATTGGAAACCTGGATGTGGGATGGTTAGTGGTGGGCGGGATGCGGGATGCGGGAAGTCCAGGAGGCTGGGATATTGCTCCAGGCTGAAAACGGATGGAAAGACGTTGTTGTGTGGGCTCGTACTTCTGAAATGCTGTTCTCGCTAGTGCGTAATACTGGAAACACTAAGTTTAACTAATATGACACTGAAATAAACTGGCTCTCAGGCAGCAGAGATGTCGTGAAAACACTGAAGCCAAGCGAAAATTGGACGCGCGTGCCCTCCGCGTTTTTCGCATATTAAGTTTTCACTATCTCAGAGTCTGCACTTTACGTATTTTGGAGCCTGCTAGCATTATAAAATTATTATTATTATTATTTTATTATTATTATTAAATCCATTATCTTAAACTATCAGCTATTACTATGGATAGAAAATGTAATTAGTTTCGTTGACGAACATATCAGCAACATTTGCAAGGTTAGAGTTAAAAAGTGCGGCAGTTTTAATGAGACTGTATATACTACAAGCATGCCGTTCATGGTGGCGAGCAAAGTGCGGGCGGCGTGACAAAACGCATGCGGGGGGATGAGTACATTCTTCGTGATCTTTATATCTCTCTGACTTTTTTGTTTTGACTGGACATTAACTGGACTTATGTGAATTTTATAGTCAAAGCTGATTTTCCGATTGCGCCATGACCTCGAAGGAAAATATGATAATATTCCTTACAGCCAATCGGCTTTTACTGATGTAAGACTATATTTCAAATGATTAGGATTGACACCTGTCATGTCCAGTCAGGATAAAACGAACTCAGTATAACAGGCTTATGTCAGGAGAAAAACGACAATCATAACACATTAATTCTTGAAGAATTAATGTGTTATGATTGTCGTTTTTCTCTTTATTGTACTGTATTAGAAGGTAAATTAGTTTATATCATCTTTGTTGGATATGAGATGATTATAGCCAACTCGGCGCTACGCGCCTCGTTAGCTATCTATCATCTCATCTCCAACGCGCCCTCGTGGAATAATTGTTAATTGTATTTTATTGTATTGGAGAGATAGAAAAAGCTAGTGTGAGATTAAGTTGACTTGTAACAACGCTGAAACTTTAGAAGAAAAACAAAGTTCGCTGAACTATCAAAGTATGTGTGTCTTTTCTGTGAAGTCGGCCCGGAGCTAGTCCCCATCAACTGGGTTCAGACTTTTCACACATTCTTGGCTATGCTTTTGCTTGCCGTCTCGCGTGACCTCTCGCGCGAGAGTATCCGGCAAAGGAAGACATTGCTCTAAGGCTACTGGGATTGAGAAACTTAATTCCTGTACAAACTTAACTACATTCGTGCTATCTTGCTGCTATCTGCTATCTTACCCCTATCTTTTTCGCTGCCATTTATTGTCACTCTGGCCAGTGACGTCTGGAAATTGGAAAGAATGGCCCATATTCGATGTATAAAAATTCAAACACTGAAAGTTAGAAGTTTTCACGATTCCATTGTCTCATAACTATCAGAAGATACTTACTAACAGAGCCCAAAGAAAAGAAAAGCAAATATAGAAAAACATATGGCTAGAAAGCTTCGGAGTCATATTAGAATTTTGATATATCGAACGTGACTGGGTTATTCAAGAGAGGGCGTAATTACTTGAATGTGCCAAATGTTAAAACCGTTTACATTGAAAGCAA